TTCAATCAAGTGGCACAGTGTATTTAGGATGACTTGCCTCACTTGTGATTGGCTCTAAATGGTGCAATAGGCTGACAAATAGTTTAGGATGACATGTATGAGGTCTGATTGGTTGCAAATGGTGCAATAGGCTGACAAATAGTTTAGGATGATGTGGGTGAGATCTGATTGGGTAGTTAGGATATAGCATTTGTCAGCCCCTTTGTCTATAAAAAGAGGACCTCTCTGAGGCCCCTCAAGAAAAATAACAAGTAGTAACCAAGTCTTCCCTAGTTTTCTGTTGTCTTCTTGTCCCTGCTAGCCTGTTGCATGGTAGCACCACCTTAGACAACAACCCCAGACTCTTGGACCTTCTGTGAGAGATCAGAAGCTAAGATCCCCAGACCCCCAGAACCTGCCCTAGACCTTCTGAGTAATATCAGAAGACCCCTGCCTCTTATCCCAGACCCAACTTATGCCCAGAACCCCGCTCAAGGACTCCTACAGACCAGCTCACACCACACCATACCACAAACCTACCCCCAGCACAACCTCCAGAACAACTACCAGATACACCCAGACTCTTGCCCCAGAACACCTCAGCATCCAGAATCCAAAGACCTACTTTCCTGGCAGCACACCAGACCTGAAGATCCCCTTGGAACTCAAACCCCTCTTTGAGTCACACCTAGGTCATCTGAAAAGGATTGTAGAAGATAGTTCTGGTGAACCTATCAGTTGGTTAGCATTAGAAGCTCTGATAAAACAGATAGAGCTTTTCTATTGTGGGATTGTGAAGAAGCTGTAGAGTCCCCCTGTATCCTCCCCACCAGTTGTACTTGCAAGTAATATTGCATATTTTGGGCCTGTGACCCACCCTATTTTGACTGCAAGTAACATTGCATCTCTTGGGCCTGTGACCCACCCTATCTTGACTGCAAGTAACATTGCATCTCTTGGGCCTGTGACCCACCCTATCTTGACTGCAAGTAACATTGCATCTCTTGGGCCTGTGACCCACCCTATCTTGACTGCAAGTAACATTGCATCTCTTGGGCCTGTGACCCACCCAATTGTTATTGTTACAAGTTATATTGTAACTACCCAAGACTCCACCCCATTACCACCATGACCAGCCAGGAAGAGATTCTCTTCAACACCATTGCTGAGCTTGACATAGACCAGGTCAGGCAGGAGCTTTATCAAGCAAAGCTCCAGCAGCTGAACTCCACCACACCAGCCACTGCTCAGTACCAACCCAGAGTAGATAAATCCCTGGTAAAAGTCCTCCAAAGCAAGTTGAAGCCCTACAAAGGCAACAGGAATGTCCAAGAGATTAGGACATACCTCCTCAGACTTGAAGAGTACTTCCAGGCAGCTGCAGATCTATCACCAGAAGGCCAACTGTTAGTAGCCACCACCTACTTGGAACTCCATGCTGAAGTCTGGTGGCAAAGCCATGTCAAGAACCACCCAGTAGGATCCCCTCTCAGAATCCAGTCTTGGGACCAGTTCAAGAGAGCCCTTCAAGAGAACTGTTAAGATTCAGGCTTAAACCACACTGTATGATCTATAAATCATGTGAGATCATGCTGAAATGTCATTAGACAGTTCACATCTGATCTGGCTAAGTTACAACGTGGGGAATTGGACTTAGAGTAATCAGAATGATCACAGACACGTGTGGAATGATTTAAAGGGGTAAATCATCATGTAAGTACTCTTAGAAGGTCTGGAAGGTTTGTGATGATCTAGATCTTCAGGTAATGTTTGCCAAGGCATGGCTGAAGCTGCTGAGCACTGCTGAGCACGGCTGAGCATGTAAACAAGTGGGCTGAAGCATGTAAACAGTAAACAAAGGCAGAGGGAGGCTGGAGAATGTACTGGGTTATATAAAGGGGGCTTTTGAATGTCTCTGGATTAATACAAGTGTGTTATCCCACAAGTTACTGCACCCAGAAGTCTTACTAGCGGCCACAGGCATTACTAGGCCTTTCAGAAGTGATTTCTACACAGGAAATCAGTGTTCCAAGCGCTAAGTTTCAATAGGTTATGAGCCCTGATAGCTATCACTGATATTTTCCTGCTTCAAATCTCTTTTCTGACGGCCACACCATCTTCCTGACGGACCTATCTTCTTCCCAACCTCATATTTGGACCACCTACCATACTAGGACGATTTTACCTCTTCCCCAACAACAAATCCACTCACCAAATCAGCTCAGACATGTCAAACACGGACTTGGACACCAAACTCACAATGGAAAAGTTCAATGGTGTGAACTACCACCTCTGGAAGTTCAAAATGACGATGTTGCTGAAGGAAAAGGGGCTGTGGGGTGTGATTGAGGGGGATGAGAGCATGGAGGGAACCTCTGAGAAGGATTGGAGGAGAAGGGATGAGCGGGCAATGGCTGTAATTACTCTGTCACTGAGTGATGCCCAACTCATGCATGTACAGACCGCTGTAACTGCAAAGGAGGCCTGGTTAAAGCTCAGTGACGTCCACCAAAGGAAAGGAATTGCCAGTAGGCTCTATCTAAGGAGGAAATTTCTCACTCTGAAGATGGAAGACGGCACTGGGGGCATGTTGGGACATATAAACACGGTCAGGACAATGGCTCAGCAGTTGGAGGCCATTGGTGCGCCAGTCAGTGAAGAAGACCAAGTCATCACCCTACTCTACAGCCTACCAGAGAGTTATGAACAGCTGGTGGTGTCTTTGGAGGCCAGGAGTGATTCTCTGATGCTGGAATTCCTCACATCACGGCTTTTGCATGAAGAAACATGCAGGAAGGAAGCTGGGGGTGAAGGAGATAGCAAAGGGAAGGCCTTTTTCAGCAGGGATGGCGGGCAGAAGGTTGGCAAGCATGGTGGGACCAAGAAGATAGCAGGGAAGTGCTTCTATTGCAACAAGAAGGGTCACTTCAAGAAGGACTGCAGGAAGTTTCTGGCGGACACCAAACAACAAGCCAATCAAGCCAGCACCAGTCAGGCAACTCAGAATGAGTTCCTATTCTTTGCTCAATCGGGAGATGACACCAAAACCTCTCAGGGAGCAGTCTGGTGGATTGTGGACTCGGGTGCTTCACAGCACATGTCACACAGGAAGGATTGGATGACCAATTACATGGAGATGTCACCAATTCAAGTCCATCTGGCGGACAACAGAACAGTTCAGGCAATAGGGAAGGGCCAGATCACACTTGAGACAGGCAGAAACCGATTCTGTACCCTCAGAGACGTGTGGTTTGTTCCCAAGCTTGAAAACAACTTGTTTTCAGTAAGAAGAGCCACTGAAAACAGTGCCAAAGTTGAGTTTGGCAGCAAGGGATGCTGTATTAAGACTTCAGACGGCCAGGAAGCAATCCAGGGAACTCTAGGGGGCGGTCTATACATGTTTCATGCAAGAGAACATGCAAACATAGCCTCTGGAATGAGTTTGGACCTCTGGCATCGCAGGTTAGGACACCTGAACATCAACAGCATCAAAATCTTGGCTAGGAACCAGCTGGGAAGCGGTCTGGAGGTCAAGAATCACACAGAAACATCACCATGTGAAGCCTGTGCCATTGGAAAGATCACCAGGCGTCCCTTTCCAAAGGGAGAAGCAGCTAGAGCGGCTCTACTGCTGTGGGTGGTTCACAGTGATGTGTGTGGGCCCATGAAGACACCAAGTCATGGTGGGGCAAAGTACTTTGTCACATTCATTGATGACAAGTCAAGGATGACGGCAGTTTATCTTCTGAAGGAGAAGAGTGAGGTTCTCAGCAAATTCAAGGAGTTTGAGGCCTGGGCAACCAACTTCACAGGACAGAAGATCAAAACTCTCAGATCAGACAATGGGGGAGAGTATATGGGCGAAGAATTCAAGAAATTCTGCAAACAGAAGGGAATTCAGCAGCAATTCAGCACCCCCTACACACCAGAGCAGAATGGTGTTGCTGAGAGGATGAACAGGATGCTGGTGGAAATGGGAAGGTGCATGCTGCACCACAGTGGACTCAGCTACAAGTTCTGGGGCGAGGCAATCATGACAGTGGTCTATCTCAGGAACAGGAGCCCCACTGCAGCACTCAGCAACCAATCAACACCATTTCAAGAGTTTACAGGCAGTAAACCAGATCTCCAGCACCTCAGAGTGTTTGGCTGCGTGGCCTACACTCATATTCCAAAAGAAAAGCGGTCAAAACTTGATGAGAAGGCCAAGAAGGCAGTCATGGTCAGCTACAGCACTCAGAGTAAGGCCTACAGACTGTGGGTACCTGAAATGAACCATGTTATCATGTCAAGGGACGTCATCTTTGATGAAAACTTGATGTGGAGCACTCAGCAGCGACTGCAGAGTGTACCACAGCAAGACCAAGAGCTACAGATGCCTCTGGGAGGGGAGCCTTCGTTCTTGGACGACCAAGAAGGGCTAGGGACGGTTCAAGAGACTCAGAGACCATCTAGCATCACTGCAGACAACTCTTCAGCATCAGAAGATGATGGGGACGACTTCCAGGATGCTGAGGAAGTGCCAGAACTCGGCAGGAAGAGTGCCAGATTTCACAAACCACCGGGAGAGTGGTGGATTGCAAAGCCAACTCAGTCAAACCTGGCTTTTGCCTTCACCATTGGGGAAGTTCCACAGGAAGAACCCAGCACTCTGGCTGAAGCTAGGACCAGACATGATGCCAAACAGTGGGAGGTGGCTGTCAAAGCGGAATATGACTCTCTGATGGAGAATCAGACATGGGACTTAGTCAAACTACCACCAGGAAGATCCACAGTTGGCTGCAAGTGGGTTTTCAAGCTGAAACTCAAGTCAGATGGCTCTGTAGAGCGCTACAAGGCCAGACTGGTAGCCAAAGGATACTCCCAAGTTGAAGGACTGGACTACAAGGAGACATTTGCCCCAGTAGTCAAGTTTGCAACCATCAGGATGGTTCTGACACTAGCAGCCATGAAGGACATGGAGATTCACCAAATGGATGTCAAAACAGCATTCTTGAATGGGACCATTGAGGAGGACATCTACATGGACCAACCAGAAGGCTTTGCCACAGCAAATGGGCTTGTCTGCAAGCTAAAGAAGAGTTTGTATGGGTTAAAGCAAGCTCCAAGAGCCGGGAACAAAGTCATTGACGGGCAACTCAAAGAACTTGGCTTTGAAAGGTGTGAATCAGACCACGGGCTGTACATCAACAAGAAGATGGGCATCCACCTTATCCTGTATGTGGATGACCTTATTCTGGCAGCAAAGGACAACCAGGAGTTGTTAAAACTCAAAGAAGAACTCAAGAAGCAGTTCAAGATGGCTGATATGGGCCAGTTAGAGCATTTTCTCGGCATTCAAGTGGTCAGGGACAGAGCCAACAGGTCAATCTGGCTCTCCCAACAGCGGTACCTCGGTCAAACATTGAAGAAATTCAAAATGAGTAACAGCAAACCAGTTGCCACACCACTAGAGAATGGCCAGAAGCTCACCAAGGCCATGTCACCACAAACTGAGGCAGAACAGCAAGAAATGAACGGGGTTCCTTTCAGAAGTGCTGTTGGAAGTCTCATTTATGCAATGCTGGGCACCAGACCAGACATAGCAGCAGCAGTTGGATCAGTTAGCCAGTACCTTTCCAACCCCGGACATCAGCACTGGATAGCAGTCAAATGGATCATGCGGTACCTGAATGGCACCACAGACCTAGGACTACAACTGGGCGGCATTCAGAGCAAGTGGGAGCTATCTGCATACTCTGATGCAGATTGGGGCGGTGATTTGGACTTCAGGAAGTCTACCACTGGCTTCTTAGTCGAGATTGGCGGCAGCACAGTCAGCTGGCAAAGCAAGAGGCAACCTACAGTCGCTCTATCATCAACAGAGTCAGAGTACATGGCTCTTTGTCAAGCTACCAAGGAAGTTATCTGGTTCAGAACACTTCTAGGCGAGCTAGGACATCAACAAAGTGGTCCTACAACATTGTATGGTGACAATCAGGGCGCCATGGCACTTGCCAACAACCCAACACATCATGCAAGGACCAAACACATTGATGTGCGGCACCACTTCATCAGACAAGCAGTAGAAGACAAGAAAATCAGCCTCAAGTACTGTCAGACAGAAGAAATGACGGCTGACATTCTCACCAAGGCCTTACCCAAGACAAAGCACCTTAAACTTTGTGGTAAAATGGGTCTCTGTCGGAAATCAGATGATTCACTGAGTGGGAGTGTTGAGATTCAGGCTTAAACCACGCTGTATGATCTATAAATCATGTGAGATCATGCTGGGATGTCATTAGACAGTTCACATCTGATTTGGCTAAGTTACAACGTGGGGAATTGGACTTAGAGTAATCAGAATGATCACAGACGCGTGTGGAATGATTTAAAGGGGTAAATCATCATGTAAGCACTCTTAGAAGGTCTGGAAGATTTGTGGTGATCTAGATCTTCAGGTAATGTTTGCCAAGGCATGGCTGAAGCTGCTGAGCACTGCTGAGCACGGCTGAGCATGTAAACAAGTGGGCTGAAGCATGTAAACAGTAAACAAAGGCGGA